GTAAACAAATATCCTTATTTAACATATAATTTTTTTATATTACTTTACTCCAATAACTATCTTTAAATTATTCTTTCTATCTCAATATTTTTTTATTATTTAATTTTTTTTCTCTCGTGTCTACTTTTTCAAAATTTCAATCCCCAATCTAATTAAATACTCGCTTTATTGTTTCTTTATTTTATTTTCTTAATTGTGTTAATTATTTTAATATTATTTAAGGTTTTAATTGAATCATTTTAATTTTTCAAATATCACAGTTGTTTGATTTTAGTTCCTTAAATTTTAATTAAACAATTTTAACTTCTCAAATATCATAACTATATAATTTTAGTCCTTCAAATATTACAATGACCTATTTAAGTTATATGTATTATAATTTTTATTCATGTATTAAATGATATATTTATTATTATTAAAATTACTAATATATTTAACTTATATAAGTAAAACATTTGTATAATGACATTATTCGAGCGGTTAAAAGATTAAAATTATTTAATTAAAAATTAAAAGACTAAAATTACATAATTATAATATTTAAAGATTAAGATTATTTAATTAAAATTTAAAAGACTAAAATTATAAGCTTCATGAAACAAAAATGCATTTATCCTATTGTATTTTATTTTAGGAATATAAGAAGTGTCACTTTTCCCCACATAGTATAAGTAGTTAGTTTTCTTATTAACTATTGAAATATCTATGTTAATTCATCCTAGATTTTCTGATTGTAGAGGAGTCGGCAAGTCATTTTCCAACAACACAATAATTTAAACGCACTACTTGAAATCGAATACAGTACATGCATGGTTGACTCGTAATTTCTATAAAGACTGCGGACAAGAAAATGCAATTGGCAAAGGTGCACTCACTCTTTGGCGTATTATCGGCAATTAGCATAAACCAGTGGGCAGGATCAACAATATCGAAGAAAATGATGAAATAAGGATCAGTAAAGTAAAGCATTATTAGGCTAGTAGGCCATTCAAGGACAACCTTTTCTCCAACACATAACTTCGTCCATGACTCTCCAATGGATGCTCTTGTCATTAACACCACAAGTTTAGATATCCCATAACTATGTTATCTAACAGAAAGAGGAACCATCATTTTCATCCTAACTATTCAGAAGATTATATATATATCCGACAATAGCTTGCCTAGCACAGACGCGTAAATTCATAAAAGTCACCTCACCATTTTCTTAGCAAAAACAAAGAAAGACGTGGACTAGATTCAGTGGTAAATGTTGACCCCATGTATGGGAAATTAAATATTGAAAATTGATAAATGGTAGGTTTACGTATAAAATGGATTTTTAGTAAAGCATCTGGTGAAAAAAAGAAAGTTAAATTTGTCACGTTTATTCATGTACGCATTAATTTCGGTTTGAATTATGATAACATCATTGAAATTCTGATATATATATATATATATCAAAATAGATGGTTTTGTTGTTCCAATCTCTAATCCAAACCGTTTCATTATAATGATATTCGAATTGGATAGGATAAGGTGATTGAATTTATTCTTAAAATTAAATAATTAAAATTAAAATTAAAAATTACATAAGACAACGTGTAAAATATACTATGCTACAAGTCGATAAACATTATGCTTAAAACATTACAAATCTATCTGTCAACATTATAACGTATCCTATTTAAAACATTTAATATTATAAATTTAAAAAATAATCAATATCATTAAATGGTTTGATTCTAGAGTGTCAGATTTATTTAATTGAATTGATCGCTCTGGTTCGGTTCTTAAGAATTAAAATTCGAGATTTAAACTGAACTAATTAAATATTTGCAATTTTCTAATAGGAACTTATACGAGAATTCGAAATAATTCTGATTTTTTTTTATTCCATTTAATTTGTATTTATCGGATTATTGGATTGATACGAAGTCGTTAGTCTTTACCACCATTTTTGAATATCATTGTTATTAAATTAAGTTGTACCAGCAGTTAAAATAAATGATAAAAAAAAGTGTAAAAAAAATGCACATTTAAAAAATAATTTATAAATATCATTCTAATAATTAAAACCTTTTTTTAATTTTTTGTATAAAATTTTGATAAAGAAAAAGACATAAAATATGATAATTACGTGTTATCTGTTTTTCTTTCATTGTCGAGGACATGTTTAATTAGAATGGTTCCAGCTTCATCCAAGACGAAGGAGGGGGCGGGATTAATCAAAACAAGTAAAATCACAATTTTCATGTTGTGAGTCATCATCATATTTAATTAATTGCTTCCTGTTGAAAATGTGGATCTAAGAGGCCGATGTCATTGAAAATAGCAGCACCTGTGATACAAATATATTAAATTTAATATTTAGTCGTAAATATTGAATATTAGATCATAATGTAGAGTTGTAGACTTTTGGGGCTGATTATAATCATGATTTTTATGCTCTTTCATTATCAACATTCCGAACCAGTTATGCACCTGTGATAGCACTTTAGCATTAATCAATATTAATATCTATGTAGCTATGCCAGAAAAGGCAAAGCAGCTAGAGAAAACCGTTAACTGAGATAAGTAAAGAAGAATGAACAACTATATAACCTTATTAAAAGAATAGGTTTAATTTATACCTATTGGTGTAAAAAGATTTACACACTCAATAAATAAATCGTTATCGTATGATTTTTAACATTATTTACTCTTAAAAAATGTCCATATATTCTCTAGCTCTTGAAAAATGTCCCTAACTGAAAGTGCCAATACTACAACAATTAATTGTTCCATATGCTAGTCTTAAAAAACAAAATTGCTCATATAAGTAAGAATCACTTGTGATTTCAAACCTCATTTTTTTATAAATAAAATGTGAATCATGCAAAGACATTATTATTATAGATTCAAGTCAATTTCAAACTTCAAACCTGGCCATGATTTTCAAAAGATTTAAATAAGATCACATTTAACTCTTCTCTCCTTTTTTTGTTCTACGGAACTTCTTTTTAAAATCAGGTCTCAACCAGTACGTGCAAGCAATAGCATATAAGACATGAATATTAATTAGATTTAGAATCGGAGCTAATCTGAATTAAGCGCAAGTGGTTGATCAAGAACCATAAAAGAAAATCTAGTTTGGCATCGTACTTTAGTGTGTTTTAACGAGTTTTTCTTTTAAAAAAAATTACTTAAGGATTTGCATGGCTAAGCTTTTATGCTCGTTGGAAAAAAAAAATACGAGGCTTTTTCTATATCCTGAAAAACTGTTCAAATATTTATACAAAAAAAAAAAAAAAAAAAAAAAAAAAAAAAAAAAACAATTACAGTCGAACATGCAATAAATGTTACTTTGTTAAAAAGATTTTTTAAAAGAGCTCTCATTGAAAAAAGTAAATTAAGGCTCGTGTGGAATGTAGAAACTCTTCCCCACGAAGTAAGATAGTTGTGATGAGAAATATATTTTAGCAGCTAAGAGATATTACGAATCACTCTCAGCCAATTGTTGATGCACCCATCTGGGGATTTGACATTTCATTAAGCATTTGTAAATTAGATTCTTTCAAACTAATTGAGATTTGTGAATTTCTATATAGACAACAGACAACAAACTGTATGACACGCGTATACAACATATATATTCTCAAAATTTCATCAAAAGTAAAATTTGCATGTGTTGTCAAGAATATTAATTTTTTTATTTGTACTCGTTCAGTGGAAAAAAAAATCCTAGATGTATAGTAATTATTAATGTTTTGCCAGTTGTTTGATTGTAATCAAATAGACGCAATCATGTAGCTTGTATTTATATTATCTATAATCAATAATATGCATGTAGCTTAATTTATTGATGAAACCAGCAAACCATTTCCCATAATGAGACCCATATCCATCATATCCGCGTTAAGAAGTCCAATTCTCACTTTTTTTCAATTGTTCATTGCCTAATTACACTGAGCTCAAAATCTGACGTGACGAGGTCAATCTTAGCAGCGTTATGAGATCTTTTGAAATTATGTTCAAACTTGTCATGATCTTAGGATAAAATAGTTGTAAACCCTTCCGTGTTTATTTTTTGTTTTAAATTTTGATAAAATTAATTTTAAATTATTACAAGTGATTGAAAAAAGTTCTCATTATACGTTAAAATGTATGTCAATTGTCAAGGTATGGAAAGATGTTTATGGAAGATTACCAAATAGACACTTGTTTATTTGGGTACATTAATGGAAAGCAAAAAACAACAAACAAAGTAACTGAAAACATAATAATCCGCCTCCAAGGTGGCGAGCACAAAACTTGGAGGGGTGGTCCATGTGTGGTTCATAGGAGCCTTATCTGCACCCCAAGCTAAAATGCCATCAAAAGATCTTAAACCAATTCCTTAAATTGCTATAGTCCTATCCCCAAAATCGCAAGGAGCCCGATGTCATAAGAAAAGCCCAACCCATCCAGCCCAACACAGAGTGCTTAAATGATAAACCCAATCAGTTGGCCCTGAACGTTTGAATTTTCCTACAGTAAGGTTCCATCAAAGATGGTTTGGGTTTTAGAAATCACAATAAAAATGTTTCGGAGATGGAGGGGATGTTTAACTCTTTTGAGCATGTTTGAATAAACTTTTTCAAAAGCGTTTTAGAAGAAAAAAAAATATAAATAAACTTCTTGATAAACTAAAATAAATTTATAAACAAATTAAAAAAAGAACTTTGAAAAAGTTAGCAAAATAGAACTTTTACAAAATAGTTTATACATAAAATTAATTTTAACTTGTAAAAAATATTATTTTATTTTTTCTTTCATTTTGCTCTCCTATAAATACTTTTGGATAAGTTTACCCAAACAAACTTTTAGTGTGCTTAGATTATGTTTATTTCAAGATATAGAAAATTAACACATCTACTGAATTGCAATTCGCCGGGGGAAAAAAATGAGAAGCAAAAGTTCCTTTCACACCAAGTATTGAAAAAAAATCATCAAACACAAACCACGACCACTGTGGGACATAATCAAAACACAAATTTGTCGTTTGAAAGGGGAATGGGAATAGTAAGGGTCAACAGTGTTTCAAATATAACTGGATGGGCTTTCTTCTTGTAGACTTGGGGCGGTTAAGGGTGTGCTACGATGTCGTACAGGACACATGGCCAGAGATTTCCTTTCTTGCCTTCCAAATATGCTTGTTCTCTCACCGCCGTCAACTACTACAGTTCAGTTTCCAAAGGGTAGTGACGGATGACCACGGTGTATTTGGGAGATGGAGAACATATATGTATGTGTTGACAAAGAATAGAGGAGGAGGCAACAAAAGAGTGAAAGAAAACGAATCAAGTAAATGGATGATGGTGGAAGAAAATAATCGAATGGTTATTTCAAATGGAGCAGCATAGACTACGTTCACTGTAGCCTCTGTCCCTTCTTATTCCATAAATGGATGTTATTCATTATCTTTCAATTTTTTAATTAAATAAGTCTTAAATTATTTTATGAAATTACGAAATTCCCATAATATGATTTCTGAAAATGCAATATTATACTTGAATCAATCACCCTAATTCCATTAAGAGTACAGAAATTAAGAATAATAATGACCCACTCCTCACAATAGCCATCATAAGCATGATTATGATCAAAAGAACAGCCAGATTCGGCTCTTCCATTCCTCTATTTGGTTTCAGCAAGCCTCCATGATTCCTTATTTTGAACTACACAAGAGTACAAATAAACGTAAAAGAACAATTACATCAAACAAGAACTTCTCATCCGACATTGCCTTGGATCTCCCTATGGTTCACCACCAAGCTCCACTCGCAGATTGTCATATGGATATACTTTGGGTGCCTGATACAAAGAAAATAACATAGCAATCAATCAACACAAGTACTAAAAAGTTGCACAAAATAGCATTATAAATGAAGCTTTAAAGAGGAAAACATCAAAGTAAATGTAGCCACTAGTACAAGCAAGAGTGCAATCAATCGGGATAAGTGGACTATAAGAATTAGGACAAATGCAGGACAGTAACCTCCATGATCCATAGACCGTGCACAACTCTAGCAAACGAACTGTACTTTTCTTTTAACCGAACAAAAACAAATTCATATATAGCTTTAGGTAAAATTAAGAATAGCCACGATGAACTAGGCACAAATCCATCCAGACTGTTTCAACATAATCATACATGACAAAAGTCTTGGATATAAGGAGAATGCTAGCTAATTGTAAACCTACAGAGGAAATTTGATTTCCATTAGCAACTAGATATCAAGTTTTTTGAACTCGCTACTTTTGCTACATCTTAGTTGCATATGAATTGTGATAGTTGTACTCCTAATATATGGTTCTGGAAGTAATACTATTTAAAAGTGAGGATGGAAAATGGGGAACAATATCCTATCATCTGAAAGCACATAAGTAACGATAAAGGGCTTCTTCAATTTCAAAACATCCTATTCTATCATCTGAAAGCACACAGGTTAATGAAGGTTTTCTTTAATTTTAAAACATCTAATAACATCTTCAGTCTGATGGTAGGTTCAAATTATGATATACAATGTCACGATGATTGTCAAAATACAAACATGTGATTCTGCATGTTCTGCAGGCTTGAATCTCAATTCGATCTGCAAACATGGTAGGTTTGCATGCCTGAATATGAACTCAGTGCAATCATGAGATACAACCAATCTCAGTTGAGGCATCAAATCTGGCCATATTCCAACCCAAATCCAAAGAAAAAAAATTTTGTCCTTCATTAATACCATAGAGCAACTGAAATTAAACCCAGAGAAAAATAAAATAAAAATTAAAAATTAAAACTTATCTTGTAGCTGATACTGATTGCAATGAGCTCAACTGGAAGGAAGTCTGGAGTTCAGTTTTATAACTGACAAATTAATGTCAGGACCTTAAAGCTGCAACTCAAGTGTTGGGAGGACTAGGTGTTGTGATCAAGATTGTCAAACTCTCGAGCTAAATAGTAAACTTACAAGTTCAAAATTCTAGATAGAGAAAATGAGTTAACTTTGTTAAACTCTTTTTTGAATAAACCCCCTTGACCTCATAATGTTAGTGTTTACTCTGACTCAAATGATTTTAAGAACTTAACTCCTTTTTGAAATGCTATCCCCTTTAGGAACTTATATTTTTATTAATTTATGTATAATTTGATCATTTATGTCATGTAATCTTATTTAGTAATAATGTACTATAACAATTTATTACTATAGTTTGCTACAGTGGAATTGAAATATTGAACTATTGTTGTGTTAAAAGTACTATGTCATGCATATATGTCATTAATGTTTTTTAATATTATTTTTTATAATAAGTAAACTCTTACAACTTTATGAGTCGAACCTAAGAATCGAGCCTATAGAAGCTCCATGAGTTTACATTTACAAACCCTCGAGTTTGACAACCTTGGCTGTGATTACCCCAGCTTTTGGCTTCCTACAGCTTCCAACTACTGCATTTGTTTCTTGCATTTGTAGGTCCCTTGGGGATTGCATTGTTATTTAGAAGGGGAAGTGACAAAGATTTTGGTTCATTATAGCAGCAAGGTAAGGCTGCCTATGATAGACCCCATAATGAATCTGATCCTTCTCTAGACCCCAACATAGCACAAGCTATGTAGCACCAGGTTGCCCTTTTATAGCAGCACAAACTACCCTACTCTCCACATTACAAAAGCTAGGTGCAGTTGAGGTGTGGGTATGATATAAGTGTGTGTTGGAGTGGCCCATGTGGATAAGATGACTTCCAGAATAACTAAAGATACAAATGCTTATCTCAATTCTCAATACATAATAGATTGCCCAAGATTTGGACAAGATGTCATCACTTTGTAAAAATACTTTCTCAACCCTTTTGGTTTTGGTTTTCTGCTTCACAACTTCAATGTGCTTTGCTGGCCCCTTCTACTTTTGTATGTTCCGCATTGGAACTTCATCATGCAAAGCACAGGGTGATGAGGAGTGTTATACCCTTAAATTAAATGTTATTACATTCATGAGACACAAACTTGGAAATTTGATCATGAGACCATTATGTCTAAAAGATACATCAACAACTGTAGATCTGTTTGTAGTATGGCAAACAGACCACTCTTCTACAACCCTCTAATTCATTTCACTGCCAGAGTGCTTCAGCATTAGACCAGTACTAGCTTTGATGTATTAATACAAAATACTATAATGCTCAATCTCAGAAATATAGAGGAAGATATCCTTAAACACCCCAGTTAAATAAATATGCTTGATAGATCCAAACCAAATAGATAAGGATCAGATAGGTGGTAGCAGAGTAGTCAATCATGCATTTGTGTTCTATAGTGGCACTATACTGCTGGAGCATTGCAGCCTAAGGCCAGTCAGGGTTCCCATCATGTTGTGTTTTTAAGTCCCACTGAATCACAGCTACTATATTGAAATGGAAAATCCATCTTTGCCCCCATTTTTAGTTTTCCACCCTTTGTAACAATCTCGTGTCCCGCTGCTTGCTGACTGTCTCTGGCCAAGCTCAAATTTTCCAACACTTCCTAAGCTTTCCAGCTGCTGCTCACCCACAGATATCTCTTTACACCCTCTCTGTTCCAACATCCCCATGTCAACCACTGTTCAACCAGAAGTCTGATCAATTTTTGTTTCTATAGTTGTTTTGCGTTCTCTGCACTCACGATACCTCTCTGTTCAATTATCGTTTTTGTGAGGTGTTATTCACATTCACATGCCCTTTCTGTTCTTGTTTTCTTTTTTTTAACTAACTTCATCATCTTCAACTTTTATTTTAATTAACTCCATCATCTTCAACTTTTATTTTAATTAACTCCATCATCTTCAACTTTTATGGTGATCGTCCATTTAGGGTATGACTTTTTATTATTAATTACGAACGTCTTTAATTTTAGATAATTCTTTATTTATTTTTGAGCATTTAGATATATATAGTATAAATTATTTGTCTTATGTCCACAAAATTCAGTACAGAAGGCATCCAACTATAGCCTGCACTGCTGTCTGAGACATATAAGTATTAGCAGTAAGCAAAAAGGATCTAAAGTAAAGGAACACACAACTCAAAGTACATTGTGATGGAAATTGGAATCAGGGAAAAAGTTCCAAGAAACTCCACAACCGGAAGTAGAGAAACCAAAATCAGGATTAGTTTGCGTAGCCAATCGAAGGAAAGGATAACAGAGAGAGAAGTATATTATTTTGTATGCTAATGGCCCATTGAGCCCACTTGGCCAAGCAAAATAGTTATCAGGCAGTTATAGCAACATCAGGTGAAAAGTGATTCTAACAAACCTCTCCACTACCTATTGCCACTTTAGCAGCCTATAAACAGCAATAAACTATGAAATAGAAAATAAAGCTGATTACAAATGAAAATTAACAACTAGGAAATAAGAGAACTAAACCATAGGACAAAAGGAAAATGTTACAGCATTGTAATTGCTGCAACATACATCCCTAAGCAGGAAATGAGAAGAATAGCATCCAATCCAACCAAATTCAAAACGGTTCCAACATTAACACTCATCAATGTCGATCACGATCAACTTCCCATAAAATATATGATGAACAACAACTGTCATAGAATTGAAATGAACAATCATCCTAAAGGCACTACAAATAGCAAAATAGAACCAGATCAAAGCCTACACTAAGCAGGAGTTCACAGGAATTGTGCAGAAGTTCAAGTAAAAGACTTACAAACGGTATCTTGGAGGCTTTGTCATTCCACACAGCCAATAAACCCAGAGACGCAAAAAAACTCAAGCCCCCACACAGCCAGGCCAATGCTTCATACTGGTTTCAAAATCAAAAGGTAAGAAAACAATTGATTTCATGCACTAATGTCAATGTCGTAAAACTTCCATACAAAAGAAGAGAAAAAAAAAAGTCACCTTTCCGACGGTGTCAGCAATACGATCTATGCACGGTTCGGGAAATGGAGTGCCGTTGTCCCACACAAGTTCGTCATTCATGGGAAGCTGAAACCCCAAATTCAAAGAGATATTAAATATTAGGGTTTTATAGAAAATCAAAATCGAATGTGATAAGTTTAGAGAAATTTACAGGTTTGTCGGGAACATAATGTTTGCCGACGGGGAGGCCCATGCCGGAGCGAAGGCGAAGAGAGGAGGCTACAGATCGGCAAACGACGCCGTTTCCGCCCAAGATCCTCGATGCTGCGTTCGTCAATCTCCCTGCCATGATTAATGATGATTTCCTTCTCCTGATTCTTCTTTTTCGTTTCTCTGTTCTTAGTTCTTACCCCCCCACAACACAACCTAATGTAACTATCAATCACTCACTGATTATACGACTTCGTTTAGAATTTTTTTTTTGTCCTATAATAATATTTATCAATTGGGCTTTATGTCGTTGGTGAATCGATTGTCAAATGTTTAATTGGGTTGGATCTTCCTTTCTTCGCTTTCGGGAGAATTTAATTTTGGGCTAATGATATATACACCTCTTTTTTTCTTTTAATAAGTACACCTCTTTTATTTTATTTTATTTTTTAAATATTTATAATTTTTTTATTCTTTAAATTTTTAATTTTACATTTTTAACTTTAAATTTACTATTTTTTTTTCTTTTCACACCTCCTTCCTTATCTTTTCTGATTTTCACATGCACCATCTTGTTTTTTTCTAATTCCTCACCTATTTTAGTAAGTAGTTTTAGTTTTTTTTTTATTTTTATATTATTCTCTTATTTTCTCACTTTTTCACTTTTTCACATACACCCAAATCATAGAATCGGTAGGCAACAATATTGTAGGTACGTGTAGCTTCCTCGACACTTTATATTAAACTAGACACACATGTTTTCTTTCAACACTTCCTTTCCTTTCACCCCTCCAAAAACTTTAACATTAAGTTTAGTGTTATGAAAAAGACATTTTCACTATTCTATATTACTATGCGAATAGTGAAATCAATGAGAAAAACTGAAAGAGGAAAGGAAAAAAATAATATAAAACTAATAATTAAAATTACCTACTAAAATAGGTGGGGTGAAGAAAAATTAAGGGGGTGCATGTAAAAATAAGGGAAAAAGATATGTAAAAAAAGTGTTAAATTAAATGTTAGGAGTGTAAAATAAAAAAATAAAAAAAAATTAAGAATATTTTAAAATTTTAATTATTTTTTTAAAAAAGAAGGGGGTGTACTTATAAAAAAAAACGGAAGTATATATATCATGATCCTTAATTTTGCCTCATGATATACACACTTTTTTAAATATATATATATATATATATATATATATATATAGGACACCTCTTTTTAAAAAAAATAATAATTAAATTTCTAAAATATTAAATTATCCTAGAACTTAAACCCGCCCCCTTTTAATTTTTTTTGAAAGTGGATATACGAACCTATTCAACTTATTTAAGACTTATTTCATGAAGTTTGTTATTTAAAAAAGTCAAATAAGTTTGATCTATAAAATAAACGATTCAAATAATTTGATTTATGTCTATCTCGTGAAATTTGTAGATAAATTGGTTGGTCTGCAAGCTTAATAAAAATATATTTAAAAATTTGAAAATAAAGTTTTATTGATTTTAAGGATTTGTTTTCTTTTTCTTTACTTTTTTAAGCTATGGAAAGTAGAAGCATGAGAAAGAAAAGAAATACATAATATATATAGTGTATCCTCTCATCTTTTTGTTGAAAGGGATTAACCGAAAAATTTATGGTCGAGTATCCTAAACATTTGTCGAAAGCGTGTTTTAATTTAACCTCCACACTTTTCATGTTTGAGGTTGGTGGACAAGTGTATCCTCCTAACTTTTTGTCGAAAGGTTTTGGCCAAAGGTTCTAGGTGAATACCTTGAACATTTGTCGAGAGGATTTGACTAAGAGGATCAAGTCAATAGGGTTTAATCGAGAGATTTTAACTAAGTACCCCACCAATCATACCTCTAATAGATCGAGTAACCTGACCCCAAAGGAATGTTGACATGACACAAATCTGACTTGAAACCTATATCTTCTTAAAATCTTATCTTTATTGGTCAAGATCACGTAATGATAAGTAACTAAACTTATCAAATATTGAGATTCTTAAGACTTATAAACCCATAATAGTCAAGTATAAAATTTGCAGCCCTAGAGCGAAGATGAACAAATTACATTTTCGATTGCTCTGACTTTGGTTGAACGGCTAGACTAACCCCAAATGCTTTTCAAACTAAAACATTTGAGCATCCACCATGGGGCTACAATGAAACTTCTCCTACACCCCAAGGACTATCAATTGAAGAAGGTGTAAGGAGGTTTTGGTGGAGATAGCAAGAGGAATGACGTCGAATCATGAGGCTCAACATCCAACAATAAAGGAGTTGACGACCTTTACCAATGGTTCGAAAGAAGAGGATGCCCAAGCTACGGAAAAAGAGGATGTTATCAAGAGGGAGAATGAAGAAATTTAGGGAAGTGTGGATGAGATGCAAAAGACAATATAAGTCAACCTTAGGCCAACAAAGGAAGATTTGACGGTCGAGGTGTCGAAGGACTTTAGGTCCTTTTCAAAAGAAATCGAGGTAGTACCCATGCCATGAGACCATGGGGTGCCTCCAATTGATTCGTTTGATGAAACCTAGGATCTTAGTCAACATTTGACAATTTTTCGTGCCCAAATATTGATTTGTGGTGGAAATGTGGGGGCACGATGGAAGTTGTTCATGGAAGCCATGAAGAAAACAACTTTGAATTAATTCAATGGTCTAGCAGATCAATTAATGTCACCAATTTTAATATGTTTAGTCATCTATTTGTAGCTCAATTTGCTACTAACAAACAAAAACCCCTGATCACACCATAACTATTTTATATAAAACAACAATAGGGGAAATCTTTCAAAGATTTCCTCCAGAGATTCAACGAAGTCTCCATAAGGGTTGCATCTTTGGATGAAAAGATGATGGTTTTAGCTTTTCTATAAGAGTGCAATTTGAAGTATTCAACAAATCCTTAAAGAGAATGAACTACCAAAGGATGATCGAGGTAAGAGCGTATGTGTTAAGTTACATAAAGTTGGAGGAAAGTCAAATTAGTAAGAGATCAAAAAAAGGAAAGGAGTTGGTCCTGTAAACCAAAGAAGGGTGAGATCACCTATGCCCTCAATCTAATTGGACAAAAATAAAGGGTAATTTGGGTAAGGATGACAAAGAGGCGTCCTTTAAATGGTCCTAGACGACATATTCTCATGGATGTAAATAATGCTAACCTATTTACTTTTCCCACCACAACTAATTGACAAATGGGATCAGAGAAGTCAAAGTGGTGTGAGTTTCATAAAACGTTTAACCATGACACAAATAAATGTTTCATCCTTATTAGGTAATTCGAACACTTGATAAAAGATAAATATTTTATTGTTTTATGTCTTTAACTTATAACTTGCAATTTAAATATGTAATTTATCTTTTTGTTTTTATTTGTACCAAGTAATTAGTAAAAAAACACATAAAATAATTTTCATGACAAACAATACTATTTAATCAATCTCTATATATTAAATATAAACTTTTATTTTATACAAGAATATTTTTAAGACTTTTTTTTAACAAGAGAACTTGTAATATTTTTTTTAACTTTTTATTTAATTTAATTTTTATTTATCATAATTTATGTGAATTAGATGTTAATATTTTAAAATAAATCAGCAATAAATAAAATATTTTTTTACAATACATATTATTTATTATAAATATAGTATATAATTTATATATATTAATTTTAATTTATATTTTTAAACATAACATTTATTTATATATAATTTATTATAAATATTAATTATATATAATAAATATGTATCTCCTTACCTAGTGTAAACAATCCAAATTATTACGATTAATATCAATTTAATTATACATAGCTTTTATTAAGGCATTTAGTGTTATAGTTAGTGAATAAAATTGAGAGAGATGGGGGTTTAGAAAAGTGCCAAGAGAGTTAATTAATGTGGACAGGCATGTCAGTTTCGTCCATCAATTCAGAATTAATTATCAAAATCAATGTTACTAAATTTTAAATTAATAGGACAGCGTAATCGAAGGCTAAATTAAATTAGTAAGTACTATAGAGGCACAAAACCGCCAAGGCCCCAAGCCCAAGTACAGCAAAATGAAACAAGTCTGGTTAAAATCGTATAGGAAACACATCTCACAAGATCCGGCCAAGGCAACAAAAACACTTGGCACCGCGAGAGGCATGGAGTAACAGTAACAAGTAATAATTTAAGCCAAACCAGATCATGGTGATGATGGAAGAACCATAACAAAATTAAAGGACAAAAACCATTTTAACCAGATCACAGAAAATTCAGATACCCAACTGAGTCTGCACCTCGAGGATGGTCTTGGCCGAGTCCGTAAGCCTCAGTGTCTCCTCTTCATTCAAGTGCACATTGGTCACACCCAGTATCCCTCCTCTGCCAAGCTGTGCCGGTAAGCTCAGGAACACTTCTCCATCGATCCCGTAAAACCCCTTCGCCAGAACAGACACAGGGTGGATCTTCCTCTGGTCCCTAAGAATGGACCGGGCCAAGTTAGCCACAGAGTACCCTATGGCCCAAGAAGTGTACCCTTTCAGCCTTATTACTTCATAAGCGCTATCAACCACTGATTTGTGTATATTCTCCAGCGTCTCCTTCTCATAAGCAATCTGCTGATTCTCCAAAAAACTCAGCACCGGCACACCCCCAATGCTAATGCTGGACCACAACGCCACCGAACTATCCCCATGCTCCCCCACTATATAAGCCTGCAACCACAGAAATCCCATATCGCTTAATAACATATCCAAAACAATATATATATAAAAGACAAGCAACACTCTGGTTACGAGCTAGTATTTTGTTTAGTGATTAGTATGTTAAGAATATTTCTCCTTATTTTATAATAATTTAAAAAAGAAAAAGAAAAAGAAAGGAAAGTGAGACTTATTGACTTTGACTTACCTGAACGTCCTGAGCGTTGACGTCGAGGTGATCGGCGATGAGGAAGCGGAAGCGAGAGGAGTCCAAGTTGGTGCCAGACCCGATGACCCGGTTGGAGGGCAAACCGGAGAGTTTCCACGCGACGTAGGTGAGGATATCGACGGGGTTGGAAACGATGAGGAGAGTGGTGTCGGGGGAGTAACGAACGAGGGGGGGTATGATGGCGCGGAAGAGGTTCAGGTTCCGTTGGAGGAGGTTGAGCCGGGACTCGCCGGGGATCTGGCGGGCGCCGGCGGTGACGATGCAGAGATCGGAGCCGGCCGTGACGGAGGAGTCGACGGAGGCCTGGATCTTGGTGCGGGGGAGGAAGGCGGCGGCGTGCTGGAGGTCGAGCATCTCGCCGCGGAGCTTGTCGGCGTTGGTGTCGACGAGGACGAGCTCGTCGGTGAGGTCCTGGGTGAGGATGGTCTGGGCGATGGCCATTCCGACGTTACCGGCGCCGATGACGGAGATCTTGTACTGGCGCTTGGTGGGGGAGGGAGGGGCGGCGTTGGTGATGGGCTTGAAGAAGGCTTGGGTGAGGTCCAGGCCCCCCGGGCCCAACGTGGATCCTGAAGCGCTCTTGTGCATGATGAATGATGAATGCTTTGTTGTTGCAGCAGCACCCAAGTGAAGAGGGTGGGTTTTATAATATGTTGAGTTAAAACTGTGGTCTGTGGAAGAAAGGAAATAATAGCGGTTTGAGACCGAGAGGGAACAGGTCGACCTTCTAGTTAGTCGTTGCGGAGAAACTAGTTAAAGGTAAAGCAAGAATGGCACGAAGCGAGTTCAAAATCAAAAGTGTAGTCCTATCGGCCACGTGGACCGGCACGACATTTCTTATTAGATATTGACGTAGCTCAGACATTACTTCGACTCGTAGATCGGCTACGTGGATCGGTCACGTGGACCGACACATCATGTCCTATCAGATCAGATATCACTTCGGTTCGGTAAGGGACCGAGAACCACATTCTTCCCCTGTCGGCTTGGCCAGACGCCGAAGACGACGTCTCGACCGTTTCGTATCGGCTTGGCTGAAGATCAACAGAGACAGTAATTAGAACGGCGATTATGATTAACAAGGGACAAAACACAATTAAGGTATAACTCGCCAATTAACATCGTATTACTTAATTTGGTAAGTGTCAGAGAAGACCCACCACGTTCAGGCCCATGACAGGTCTTATAAATAGGTCATACGTAATGAGGTATGTCACTGTTCATTTTTACCTAGAAAATCGTGTTTGTCCTGACTTGAACGTCGGAGTGCCTTTTGCAGGTACCTCCCCCCTCTGAAGAATCCACCTGAAGCTCCCGTTCGACCTCACACCCCAGAAGATTACGAGTGTGCCCTCAAACAAGTAGAAAAAGGAAAGTGCCATGTCATCACTGGGTGATTCAGAAACCAATAGTCACGCGTCCTATTTTTAAGTAATACGAAAATCAAGAAAAGCTGGCTGGCTGGCTAGGTATTTTAAAGTTTTAAATGCTTTCGTCTCATATTCCTGCGTTGCAATTAAGCATTTTCGTTTTTGACCAAAGAATCCCTGTTTAAATTCATTTCTTTTCATGTTATTTAATTACTTTATTAAATAAAATAAATAAATAAATAAAAGATATTTAAGCGTAGTTGAATAGAAGCAGGCGCAGCGAGTGAGTGCGAAAGCCGAAAACCTGAGCGGCAATGAGAATGGAGAAAGGGCTTGCGGAGCTGGAGCGAGTCCAAACCCAGCTCTTGCAACGCATTGAGAAACTGGAGCATTCTCTTCTTCCATCAGCAGCGCCTTCCCAAAACGACACCGTTGAGGGCACCGACACCGTGGCTCGCCTCTCCTCCATTTTGCGCCTCAACGGCGTCCACGACTTCTCCTTCAAGAGAGTCCCTTCCGATTACTACGATTGGCCCCTCGAAGCCCGTCGCCACGCCCTCTCCGCCGCCTCAATCCACCACCTCTGCAAGAGCATCGTCCTCGTTAACACGCAAGCCCCCGCTAACGTCGTCGATTGCACCGATCGGAACAATTCCAAGTATTACGTCGTTGTCGTTCAGGTTCTTTCGCACTCTCTTCCTTTTCCTCTCTTCTCAGTTCTCAACTCCCTCACGGATTCGTTTCTTTTATTGGCAGTACACTGCTCGCTTCAACGCCGAGGCTGTCAAGAATTTTCTGTATTCGCTCAACAACGGAAGTATCGCCAAAAAGAAATTCAACAGTAAGCGATTTTGGTGTTTTTACAGCTCCCCAGTTTTTCGATTTCCAGGATAGGGTATTTGTGCTGAATGATTTCCTGTTCAACTTTGTGACATTGTTAGGACAGAGTGTTCTGTTTATTTGTGGATGAATGGTAGTGTAGTTATTAAACTGAATGTAGCGTAGAGACCTTTCTCCATTTCTACTTATCCGGTTGATACTTGGTAGGTATATTTGAGAAACAGTGTGTTTGGTTTTATAGTAGTTATTGATGTGGTTTTCCACGTTCAAGGTGAAGCTACCTGATATAGCTTGTACATTAATGTGGATCTTGGATGTGCAACCAAACACGCACATGCACATAGCTTGATTAGCTTCCACGTTTTTTTTAGCAAAATTGACGTGATTTCTAGCTTTGCAATGGGTGTCCAAACACACATAAATTGGCCTCTGTTTTGGCACATTAGTTTTCTTTATTGATGATTTTAATGAAGGAGTGTTCAGGTAGAGTTGGTCAAGGGGTTTTCCCAGCTAAATATGAGTATGATTCTATGAAGCCATGAAACAGAAATGTTTTAATGACTTGGGTGGGATAGGCTAGTACTTGGACGCTACAGTTTATAGTGTAGATCTTGTCAACTTGTAAAAATTTAAAATGAAACCTAGCTGCTAACCTTGCTTCCTTCTAACGCTACAGTTTATAGTGTAGATCTTCTCATGCTATCTCAGATTCACACCCCACAAACTAGTATGTTGAAACTGGTTCAAGAACACAGAATCAAGGAAAACCTTGAAAAATTGGGATGTGAAAGAGGACTACGGCCAAAGTTGAGTACAGCTGTAAAATGATAAATATGATTGAACTTAGTGTTTGGGAATTGGTTGGTTTTTGCAGAAAACGAAATTTAAAGTATTTTCTTGAGGTGTTGGGGGGTCTGAATGAGTTGTAAGGGCTGAGTTGCAGCAAGTCTTAGATACATATGATGGGTTGTTGCTGTGATTAGAAGACTACTAAGGCTAAAACTCCTGTCTTTGGTTGATTATATTTGATTGGCTTTTAACTTGGTGGTTAAAATTTTTAGATACACGATGGTGCATGATAGCTATCAAGTTCAATGCATGAAAGTTTCAGTTTTGGGCTGTCAATCAATTTCAAACACTCACTAGCAAAAGATGAAGTAAATATTCACATTGATTGAATTAGTTTTTAATGTACTACGTTACATCATCTCAATTTTCTACATTGAACTTCTGCAAACCGCAACAAATGAGACTGCATAGGAGCTGAACTAGAAACTCTTGACCATTTAATGGTTTTTGTTACACGAAAAATCTAAGTAGAAGATATATGAAGGAAGTTTTAAGTTGAAGTGAAAGAATGGGCAGCCCAAACTTCGTGACACTCAAATCACTTTCTGAAAATTATATTCACCACTTGAAAATATCTTTATATTTTGTAATCAATGAGTCCATGTGGTCATGCTATCTCTCTTTGTTAATCCTTTCTGTTTTATTCATGGACAATTTTCATGTTATTTATTTTCCCTTAATTTTTAAATATTTAAAATTTCTCTTGGTTATGTCTGTAACTTGCTGTTGCTTACAAGGTAATAATGGTTGTTAATTTTTATTAATTATGCAGTGAGGCTAGCTCCTGAGGAGACATCAATGGAGTTAACTGGATATGGGCACAATGCAGTGACTTGTATTGGCATGAAAACAGACATTCCGGTAAGACTTGACTCGTGGATTAGTATAGGATTCTTATGATATATAGACAATGAAATATTGTATCATAACAACCCCAAAATAAGCCCTACATTTTTTTTGTGCATATCAGCACATGGATTGATAATTGATAGAGATGGATCAGTTGGTAAAATAACATAAAAGCTGAAATGGGAAAATAATAGACCGCTATAATTAAAAACATTAGATTAAGATTAAAAATAATAGACCACTATAATTAAAATTCAATTACAAGCATGTATGACTTATGTTATCATTGTATGTATATCCACATATATTAGTCTTCTATAGATTATTGTTGCCCCAATTCACAATTGTACTTGACTAACTGCATTTAAAAATAATTTATAATTTTATCTAATAGTCATAAACTTGAAATCTCGTCATTAATCTTGTTATTCTGAAGACTCAATAATGATCATTTAATATAAGAAACACAATAAATGAAATGCCTCATACATTAGTAATAACATGCAATAGTCAAATCAATTATGATCATTCTATGCATTGTTGTTACATTAAATACAAATCCCCATTTCATTCTCTTTTCCATTTAGATATCATGATGCCTATATAGAAGATTATTCTTCAATTTCTTCCTGTGTTGATTATATATTTTGGATCCATTTCAGGTGATTTTGGATGAAGCAATTGTAAAACTAACTCCAGATTTCTTTTGGTTGGGAGGTGGTGAGGTTGATCTGAAGCTGGGGATCCGGACATCTCAATTAATCAAATTTATCAACCCATTCATTGTCAACTGTAGCAGTAACTGATTTGGTTGAGCAGAATGTGGTCACGATAATTGAGTTTACATGGAGAGCTGCCATTTTCAGCTTTCCATTTTTTATTTTTATATTATTTTAATTATTGACCCTTCAAGAAGATATTTATTTTTGAATTTTTGCCAGAGTATTAATGTAACCTCTACCTAATAGCCAAACATCAAGAATATCTTTGTTAATTTTTTCATTATCGATATCCAATCTAAAAGCAACGGAGAAGGAATTAACTTGGGACATTATGCATATGGAATGGCTGGAAATTGCACAGAACATGCTGTTGGAACTAAAAACCAGAACAATATGCTAAGGGCTGTTAAGGTGTTTCTCCATTTTCTGCTTTAGCTGGTGCCAGTCCTCAGTTGTGTGTCTCGAAGCTCTTCTTCTATTTATTGAAGTGTGTCTCGGTCTCCCCCCCTTTTCTGCCCCTTCTTTTCATACATGTCTGCGCCACTGTTAAAGTGTGTTTGTGTTGATGCTATGGCAAAGGGAGAGAGACACAACTCACAAGCGGAGTTTCGTTATTTTTTCTCTTCTCTTTTCGATTTTTGTACTCTATCTTATTTTACTTGTCCCGTCTGTTCTTTCTCTCTTTTTTTACTATCCTCGTTTTCTTATTAAAGTGCATTTCTTTGTTAGATATATTAGTGTTTTTCCCTTGATTCTAGGGATAAAATGAATTAAATTAAAAATGGTAAAGTCAAGATTGGGCATTCACACTATTATTTTAAAACCCTTGAATTTAATGATTTAGTAATTCCTTATTTTATATAAAGGTATTTTCTTAATATTTTTTCATAAAAAATTATATGGAAAGTGCAACATAAAACGCGTGGCACGGAGATAATTGTACCCTCTAGCTAATTGCACCCAATTGTATCTTTAAAATGAAGAAAAAATTGTTCCTATAGTTAACCCCCTCTTCTATTTCTCTTCCGGACTTCCTTCCAACCATAATCCATGATTGAAGCAAAGGTTGCATATATATATATATATATATAGGAAAGGCATGGAAGTATAGAGAAAAATTTAATTTTTAACAATGAGATGCTAAATTAAAAAGATCCAACATATGCCTTTTCAATATTGTTAGTTTTGCCACGTATAAAATAATTCCTAGCAAATATTTTATCAAAATAAATATAAAACTCTATTATACGCGAAAGTAGAACTCATTTTAAAATTCTATTATAAGAGATAGTAGAAGAATTCATAAGTTGAGATTGAGATATTAATTAAACCAAGACCAGCAAAAACTGCAACACAGTATTAAAAAAAAAAAAAAAAAAAAGAATACATAGTTGAGAGATGCACCCATATCCCTGAGTAAACAAAGAAAGAAATGAGCTTAAACCCCGATGGCTGATGCCAATAATAAAAGCATATATCTTAGGCGACGCAAGGGTTGTGTTATTAAGAATGAGATTCTACAGTAACGTTATGAGGACAAAATAACCATAAGTTCCCCTAGAATCAAAAACAGAACTGTTCTTGTTGTAAAATAGATGCAAGAGGATTTTAGTTGAAGGTCTTCATTCTTTATCAGGTAATTTGTATCTTAAAAGGAACTTTGATGTCAAAGTTAATAAGTACTCAGAATGATCGAGTATATTGTGTATATGTTATATATCTTGTGAAGGTGTATTTATAAGTAAAGGAATATTATCATTAAAGATCTGATCTATAATGATTGAGATGATGGTTTGATTAGGCAGAATAGATCCTTGTCATATAGATTATTATTTATCGTTCTGAAGTTGATGATCAATCACATATTACATCATTCAACTATTTTTCTATAAATGGAGTCCACAACATTTCAACCTTGAGACCTTTCTGATATTGAAACAATATTTGGTATTTATTACTTCACATTTTTTTAACTTCCAAAGACCAATCCAATTAGACAAATTAAAAATAAAAATCTTTATATATCACTATATCGTACAACTTTCAACCCTAAGCCTTAAACACTGTCAACATAATTCTAAACATTAATTAGTCTAACTTATGCTTTTGGAAATTTAAGTTTCTTCTCCATTATCTCTCAACTTATATAGAACTGCTAGCAATTAATTGGCTTTTTGGCCGGTTTAAATAAAAATAAATTAAAATTATAAAAATAAATTATTTAAATAACAATTTATCAGAATGAATAATTTTTACCATGTTGGCAACAATACAAATAAAATGTTACTAACTCTAAACGCTTTTGATGCAAATGAAAAAAAATAAAGAAAACGTTGGAAGCCCTAGACTTTTAGAGTTGTTTTCTAATTATACAAAAAAAAAATGGCTAGGGCCTAGACATGTGTTGGAAAGTATTGCAACACCGAACGTCTGCCCAGATGTTTTTTTGTGTTTTTGTTTTTAAAAAAACAACACAAAACGCTTAGGAGATAAACGAAAAAAGAATATGACTAGACTAACCTAGTATAGAAGTTCTCTTTCGAGTAATTATTGTATGCATACAAACATAACATGTCACATTTGCACACAACCACTAAAAGATTGACAGCACATTAAAATAAAATTAAAATTAAAACGTGGTCGCAGTTCGAGATCACACGGGGTGGCTCTTTCAATGTTTCCTTGGTGACAATTTATGAAGACTTTTTTTTTTTCATTATACACAAAATGCCTGCCTCAAGTGTTTTGTGTTGTTTATTAAAAACACAAAAAAGTCCAGAACCAAGCATTTTGTGTTGCCATAATTTAAAAAACAACACAAAATGCTTTGGACTCCAGCATTTTCTTCTCTTTTTTTTTTCGTTTGCGATGAAAATGTTTAGGATTAATAAGGTTTTATTTGTATTGTCAACGTGATAAAAATTATTCATTATGATAAATTGTTATTTATGTAATTTATGTAATTTATTTTCGTAGTTTTAATTTTTTATTTGTTTAATTAAACTGGCCAAAGAGCCCAATTAATTAGAGTTTGCCTACATCAACAGATTTAGATACTCACATAGTTGATGTAAAGGGAAGAAAATAAGCATCTACAAGCAATCCAAGTAATTAACATTGACCAATGGAGTATGAAATAAGTTATATAATTAAGACTCTTTAGAAGACCAACTCAATAATAAAATATTTAGGACAGAATCAATTTCTTCTTGAAAAATCTCCCAACTTTATAATAAAAGTAAAATCAAACTTCACTAGTCCATAAACTTCATCATCCAACAACATAGTCAGACTAAGCTACCACGTACCATAAATATTCACTCAATCTATTTCTCTATGTTTAAAATGAACTTATTTCTCATAGTCATAGAGCTATGCTTAATTAAGCTAGATCTAGCTAGATATGACAAATAAATTAACCCAAAAGAAGAGGGAATAAAAATAGAGAAACCATTAAACCGTATATAGAGGAATAATACAGCTATTTTTAAACAAAGTCATTTGCAACTGCAACATATTCCTAGACCCGAATTAATGATCTTTCAAGAAATGTACCAAGATTTCTTGAAAAGAGATAAAGTCACCTGCTTACCATTAAGCAATAACATAATTGTTAAGTAGTAATTTTCTGTTATTATTAAGACACCTAAAACAAATAATATATAGCTAGAATAACCATCTTGTAATTTGCTACCATCCCTACACATGGTGTCAATAATACAAGTTTTGAAGCTGTGGATGCAGATTTATAATTTGAATAATAACCTTATAGAAAGGTAATAGCCTAATAGGATTAAGAAAACAACTCAAATAGCTTACATATATATGAAAGGGTAAAATTTATGACTTAAGTTTTCTTACATGAGATGACAAAGTCGAAAGATATATAGCATCTACGCTGCTCTACTCATGTCCTGATAAAACTTTCTTTGTTTTCTCCCTTTTTATAACATAATAAATTCCAATGAAAATAAGGTTAATTATTATTACTACAAGAGAAGTGAATGAGTTCAAGGGATGATAATAAGACATCAACCACGAACAGAAAAGGCAGAAAAAAACAAAATGAGATTCTATATTAATGCCAGGTATAGAATAGCAAGGCTAATTTCCAAGTCTTTGTGTAATTAGCATGTGATAGTCCTTTACCACCAACAATACGACATCGTCGTTTGCAAGCATGGTTGAAGACGGAAACTCAAAAGAATGAATTTGAAGATGCTTGGCTCTAACCTTTACCAAGAGAGTCCAAGAGTTTTGAACCCCAAACTCCTTCATTTTCCAAACATAAAAATAGCTTCGTCGGTGATAGTAAAAAAGACACAAACAACCCTCCAAAACAAGAAGTCCAATTTGAGGTCCAGCAATCTTAGAATCAGAAGGCAACGACAAATATCTGTATGTCTTGTTCCTTAAATCCAACGAAAAAATTGCACATCGATTAGCATAGTTGCATGTTTTGCTAACCAATTGAAAGTGTCACTCAAAAATTGTCCCTCGGGTTGAAGTGTATAAGAAAAAGAAAAATCAGTCCAACTTGCAATCTTTCTCCAACCATGGTGCCCTAAGCAGTGAACCCCCAATTCAAATTCCCGTGAATCCCAGCTCTCAGCAGCTGCCACCACCTTGTAAGTGTCACTTGAATCATCGTAGCCAAACCCCAACCTTAAAAGCTTGGTGCCTTCATATGTGCACGGCACTTTCTTAGACCTTAACCTTGTTGCAGGGTTCCAAAATTGGACCCAGGGTTTACTTATATTGGCGTTTATACCACTGAGACAGACCAATCCGTTGCAGACCCCAACAACATCGTATGCTTCACCCACCGTCACTAACGGTTGAGGATGGATCATCGAGTAAACGTTGTACGGAGCAGCAGTGTAACCTACGTTGTTCATGCAACGTAGAGTCGGAGTTTTCTACCGTGAATAAGATGGGAGTGTCTTTGCGAGATCTCTGAAGGTGCAACTTCACGAAAGTAGGGTTGAAGAAGAGGGAATTCCAACTCTTGCAAACGCATCTGAATCGAACGAGAGCTCTCACCGTAACGCATGACAGAATTTCTACTACGAGATCGTCGGGGACATGTGGACGATGCATTTTCTTGAAACAAATAATGGGCGTAATTGTTTTTCTTAAAGGCCAGTATAAAACTTACCAAACCCTACCCAAATAAATAATAGGCTTTTTTAACAACAGGGCATAATTTTTTTTTTTTTTTTAGATCTTGAAATGGATAAGTTTTGAAAATATTTTCACAAAAATAATTAAGAAATAATTTTAATTTAAATTTGTCACAATTTAAATTAAGAAATTTCACAAAAATTCATGACACAAGTGTACAATGATTATAATTTATCTATCTATATTAATAATATATATCTATGTTAATATTAATATTAATTAATAAAAGTAAAATAGTTTAGGCATAAAACTCTTAGGTAATTGAGTATTATTTTTTTTAGAATAAATTTCTTTCATCTAACTTCTCATATTTCTACTTAAAATAAGGATAATTTGAATTTGATAATTAATTTATTTAGACAATTAATGATATTAATATGATCGATTATCTCCTATCGTGTAAATGATTGAGCTGTTGTTGTAATATGTTACATAATTTGTTA